GCCAAACTTGGTAATATGCTTGTAATTGACAGGTTTAATTACCCCTTTTTGAAGACGTGTACGTGTTTGCACAATAGGTACAGCCGCCGAATGCACAGAAGATCCATCAGCCGCCTGGGATCCTACGCCAGATCCTCCTGCAGGAGATGATGGCGAACTGGGATCTTCTGTGGCTTCAGCTAATGAAGAAGCGACGTGAGGCGGCGCAGACGATCCGGATCCAGTCCCTGCCAGCGGCTCGTCAGAATGTGATGATGGCGCCGGCCAACAGGGATCTGCGCTGGATCCCGAGGCGGTAGCAGACCGACCGGTCGGATCGTTCATGGTACGGCGCGTGTAGCAGCGGTCCACTCCCGTGGGCCACCGGCTCGGGGGCGGCCCAGTGGCAGGCGCTGATTGGCGCGGGTCGGAGTCCGCTGTGTGGCGAACTGGAGAGGCCCGCGTGGCAGAGGCGGGGCCGCCGCTGCTGACGCGGTTGTCGCCTGGCCCACTGCTGCTGGCGCGGTTGTCGCCTGGCGCGCCTGCCCGGTCGCGGCTGTCTCCTGGCGCTGGACCCGAGGCGCAGATTCCCTGCTGCTGCACGGATCCCGTAGAAGATAGCGTGGCAGACTGTGGCGGTGATGATCTCGAGGGGGATATGCTCCCTGGAGCTGGACACATAAAATGTTGCGCGTTGAGGGTGATTTCTTGACCGTTTTGAATGATTTCTTTGCTGTTTTCTTGCCCTGTTTCACCACAAAGCTCAGCCAAACTGGTGTTATGAGGGTTAGTCAATATTGTATCATCACAATTATTTCCCCGTTGATCAGTGCCGGTTAGATGAGATGGGAGAAGAAGGATTTCTTGACGTAGGATGGCGCCGGCGTTTGGATGTAGATCAGAGAAGGGGAATTTTGTCTCATCAAAAACTACATCGCGAGAAATATATACTCGACCAGTAGAGACATCAAGGCACTTGACACCTTTGTGTTGAGCACTATACCCTATGAACACACACTGTTTGGACCGAAACATGAGTTTACGCTTGTTGTATGGGCGCAAATTTGGCCAACAGGCACACCCAAACACACGAAGCGTGGTATAGTCAGGTTTGGTGTGAAGGAGACGTTCCATAGGCGTTTCATTATTAATGACACGACTAGGTAACATGTTTATGATATGCACGGCTGTGAGAAAAGCCTCGTCCCAGAATTTCAAGGGCATAGATGCGCCGGCTAAAAGAGAGAGACCAACCTCTACTATATGACGGTGTTTGTGTTCAGCAGACCCGTTCTGTTGATGAGCATGAGGGCATGACACGTGGTGAGAAATACCAAGTTTTTGAAAGAAGGAATTTAACTTTTTGTATTCCCCTCCCCAGTCGGATTGGACAGCAATGATCTTGCTATCAAATTTTCTTTCAACGAGTGCTTGGAAATTTTGAAATACTTGAAAAACATCAGATCGCTTTTTAAGAAGATAGATCCAAGAGAATTTGCTATAGTCATCAATGAAACTTACGTAGTAAGTGTGTCTACCTACGGAAGAGGGGGCAGGACCCCAAACATCAGAGAAAATAAGCTGCAATGGTTTGGTAGAAACACTCATAGAAATGGGATATGGCAACTGATGACTTTTAGCTCTTTGACAAGAATCACAAACTGTTTCAACATTACGCTCTCCAACATATGGGAGCTTATTTTTCCTAAGCACTCGTTCTACTAAAGAAAAAGATGCATGCCCTAGACGATCATGCCACTGGGTTGAAGATAACTTGGTGACCGCACATGCTGTTTTATTGAATTTCCTAAGCTCGGGAATCAACGGATATAGTCCTCGAACGCATCTACCTCGATAGAGGATTTTCTTCGTGACCTGATCTTGAATCAAAAAGAAATAGGGGTGAAACTCGAGGAAGACATGGTTATCAATGGCAATGCGATGAACTGAAAGGAGATTCATGGAGGCTCTAGGGACATGCAATATTTTTCTAAGATGGATTTTTCGATGAGGGGTTTTAATAATTGAGTGACCAATATGACTTATTCTCATACCTTCTCCGTTTGCGGCATGGACTTGTTCCGGGCCGCGGTATTTCTCCCTCATGGTGACCTTCTCTAACTCGCCGGTGATGTGGTTGGTAGCACCACTGTCAACATACCAGTTGGTGTCGACTCCGTACGAGGCCTCTGCCCCGCCAGCAACCTTTTCATCTTGAGAGGAGTCGTCATCCTCTTCGAAGCGATACCAGCAATCCTTCGCTGAGTGCCCCGGTTTGCCACAGATTTGGCACCGGATGGTGTCAGGGCGTGACCTGGGGGAGTTGCGGCGGCCCTTGGAGTTGGTGTAGGAGGGCCGCCCGCTACCGTTGTTGTTGTCGGGGCCGCGGAAGTTGCTGTTGTTGGCGTTGGCGCTGTTGCCGGTCTTGCTCTTCCGCGGTGGCCCGCGGTAGCGTGATCCGCCGCCACCACCACCACCACGGCCGCGAGTGGCGGCATTGGCCGACGACTTGAAGCCGCCGTTTCCCTGGAAGAGTGCAACACGCTGGTCGAAGTTGCTCATCTGGGAGAAGAGTTCGTCGATGGTGACCGGCTGTGTGCGCGCGTCGAGAGCGGAGACGAGGGGCTGGTACTCCATGTCGAGGCCGGCGAGGATGTAGGAGATCAGCTCGCCATCTTGAAGAGGCTTTCCCGTAGCAGCAAGCTCATCCGCAAGCGACCGCATGTATGCGAAGTACGTCGCCACAGACTGCGTTCCCTTCTGTGCATGAGAGAGCGCGATGCGGATGTTGTTTACCCTAGACAGCGACTGCGAGGAAAACATCCCTGCTAGTGCTACCCAGAGCTCATGCGCATGATCGATGGAGGTGACCTGCACTAGTACTTCTTTGGTCAGGTTGTTCAACAAATAGCCCAATACCTGTTGATCTTCTCGGATCCAAACCGAGTGGAGAGGATTGGGAATTGTTTCTTCTTTCCCATCCTTGTCCTTGGTGACGACGTGCTTGGCCGGCTCTGGCGTGGTTCCATCCACGTATCCGAAGAAGCCGGCTCCTTTGATCTGCGGGGTGATTTGGGTGCGCCAGAGGACGTAGTTTATGCGGGATAGCCTCTCGGTGACCTGGCCCGAGAGGTTGGAGTTGGCTGCGGCAGAGGAGGACATGGCGGCGAGCTTTGGTGGAAGGAAAAACCTAGCGAACTAGATGTAATGGAAAAGAGGGGCTCTGTAGACCATGTGCATTAGGCAGGAAGCGTCGTACCCTGTTCGGGGCTGCGCCTTCATGTTATATAGCAGGGGCTTATCCCTGGATATGCATACAAGTAGTTGGAGAGATTACATCTTGGAAGGCAAGGAAAGAATAAGAGATAGAGATAAACACATTCGGTTTGGAGAGAATCTAAACTATCTCCTAACTATCCTGTACCGAAGCCTACGTGACCTATGCCATCGTGACATGATGTTTAACATGAATATCTACTGATTTTTTCAGTTAACTCATGGAGCAAATCCTTACAGTACCTTCTTCCTGATGAATGTAGCTCTGGCGGCAGCACGGGCAGACAAGCAGCAGCAGTACGGGTAGACGAGCAGCAGCAGTACGGGTAGATGAGCAGCAGCTGTACAGGCAAAGGAGCTCCACCGGCGGCAGGGGACAAGCATCCGCATGGGCGCGGGCAGGGGAGAAGGAGCAGCACGAGCTTGCGCGGGAGATTGAGGAAGACGCGCGGGAGATCGAGGATCACACGCGCGAGCTCCCGGTCCACTGGATCGTGGAGGCAGGCTCCGGCGACGCCGGTAGGGGATCGCGGCGGCGCACGCGTGGGAGCTCCAGCAGGATGCGCGGGAGCACGGTGGAGGACGCACGCGAGCTTGAGGAGGTTCCAGGAGGGACGCGCGCGGCAGGAGATTCCGGCGAAGCCCACAGGCAGCGGGAGGGGACCGCCGGCGCAGGTCTGGGCTGCGGCGGCAGAGGAGGTAATTGGCGACGACGGCGAGAGCAGGTACTTGGCTACGGCGGAGGAGCTCAGCTGGGCTCGCCGGCCCCTGGCGAATCACGCAGCTGGGCGGCGCCGGCCCCTGGCGACGCGCAGGCGACGGGCGGAGGAAGAAGGCGGGGCGGAGGGACTTGTTCGAAACACTTTTCAAACCACGAGGTTTTTTTTGTAAAATTACCAGTGAACTACGCCCGCGACATGTTTATCGGGACGGAGGGAGTATTAGTTTACTCCTGTTAGACATTATTTTCTGGGGGGAAAAGAGGTTCATCATCCATCAGGAATAGTCAAATTACAACAACTATGCATTTTGTGTGTGGCAGTTGATTGATTTGATAGTGCAGAGGGCTGTTTACTCCTTCAGCAAAACAACACCCTTAATTTATTTACTGCCATCTACTCCCTCGCGTCTAGACAAATCTAAGACAAAGAATTTTGGGACGGAGGGAGTCCTTTAAGATTCCCAACTAAATGGCTTGACATAATAGATCCAGTTCCACTTTTCAGTGCTGGCATAAAAGGAGGGCAACCTGGTGCATGTAGCTCCCGCTTGCGCAAGGTCCAGGGAAGGGTCCGACCATTTTGGGTCTATAGTACGCAGCCTTTCCCTACATTTCTGTAAGAGGCTGTTTCCAGGAGTTGAACCCATGACCTCATGGTCACAAGGCAGCAGCTTTACCACACAGAAAAGTTATCCCCTTCTGAAAAAAACATAAAGTCATCCACTACAGGAACTGACAACAAAAGGGGTCTTCCAGGCTATGGCAAGTTCACATGGATGGATGAATTGCTGAAAAGAAAAGGAGATCCAATCACACATCCATAATCCATCCATCATATGCTCAAGAAATAATCGTGCTCGTCCAATGAAATCAAGCTGTATCAAGTTTACAAACTACCTACCGCTGTACAATTTTTGCCTCCACATAGATCATATTGACAAAAACAAAAGAATCTTCGGCGTGGCTGGTCGCGTGCCTCAACCAATACAAACTTCTTCCTGCAGGATTCGTCCATACAGGCGCGTCAAGGTTGTCTAATGCTGCATCTACCCAGCTCTTTCGATGTCAATTGAACCCTGCACGCGGTATTGTGCACAGGAGTTAAGATTTTTTTTTAGAGAAAATGTACAAGTAGGATTCGACAAACCGAATGGAATAACAACACAAACTTCCAAATCTAGATATAGTATTATAGTGCACGAATTTATCAGTAGAAACTATTGAAAAGGGACATTTAATTTACCACGTCAGGATGATCTCTCAACGTTCTGGTAGCAATCGAGGTAGCTCGTCTAGTCGGTTTTCTTTTCTTGTGGAAGGATTCATGGAGAGAATCCATCATTGAAGCTTCAGGCCACTTGCCACTTCTGTCAGTTGGATCCAAGTTGCTAGGGCCCCAGGTATACATCACAAACTTCCTCACCTGTAAACAACAAAAGAAAAATCAGTATCCTTTATTAACCAGAGATGCAGCCCCATGGATGGCATATATAATGCTCATCGTTGGACCAAGACATGCTTCACCTTATCCCAATTCTGTTGAGCTCGCCGTTTGCTCAGAATTTTCAGCATTCTTGTATCCTCATTACGGAGCTTCTTTATCCTAGCTTCACACTGAGGAGTCCAAATAATAATCAGTTGCATACCAAATCAGTTTACACGTCATCGCACACTTATTCCTTTTTTCAGTGTGCCAATTTCAGTCCAAATAATAATAAAGTTTTCATGAACTTACTTGAGCCATGAGGCAGAGAAATATCGCTATACTGAAGGCATAAAGGCCACCAATACTCGCAATTATACTGACTGCAGGAAACAATCACTATTAGATGATAGAAAAGTAAACAGCACAAATTAGCTAAAGTTCAAATCCACAACTCATATAGCTGCCAGTGAGTTTTGTCCGACACTTGGGCCAACTTTCTCACAAGTGGGCCCTCATTATAACCACAAAAGTATGTAGCTACGTGGCGCACAAGGCTATTAATTATGGCCTATCTAGTTGCTTTGGTGTGCAGGCATGTGGAAACTCGTCTTTGTTACCATGCCAGGGATTCAGGGTTAAGCTACTTTTAGTCCCAGGAAATAGCGATGGAGGATGGTACTACTAAGTGAAACCCACTGTGAGCTGGAAACAAATTTCCTATATGCTACAAGTAGAAAGCTTTTTGTAACCATATATTCATATCTGCAGTAACATGATCAGTTTAAACTAGTAAAAGCTATGAGCTAAGTTTGAAGTTTAAGCAAATCAAACAGCTATATCAAGATCGAATTTAATGAACCACACACTAATCCAGGTCCTCTAGGATTGGAAAGTCTATCATGGAGCATAATGTTTGGGACAATTCATATGGTAGTTAGTAGTTGGATCTGAAGTAATATTGATATAGTAATCCATAATCCTCAAGTGGTTGGTTACTAGGAAATAATTTGGCCACTAAATAAACTAGAAAATCAAACAGAAATGCTCAGCCTTGTCATCATAAGGGACTCACCTGGGCCTAGCACACTTTCGTTACTAATCTCCACGATGTAGTCTGAAAGATAACTTATGTAGAGCGTAGTGTTTAATACTCCATCTGTAGGGTTCTGCAGGGAAGCATTCAAGCTCCGGACATCCGAAAAGGTGGACCCTGGAGTGAAGTCCTGAAGCAGTGGCTGCAAGAGCTTCAGGTTGTTAAGTTTGTTGTATATCTGGGGAAACAGCTGAATCTTGAGCACGTTGGAGTCTGTCCCTCTGAATGTCTTAAGCTTCTCATCGCCATAGTTGTCAGAGTTTATGGTCCCACTGACAAAGCTCACGTGCTCATTGTCCCCGGTTTGCTTGGTAGTCAGGTTGAACTGGAAGCCAACAGCTATCGCCGGCCGCGCCGGCAGGTCGACAAACTGCCAGGACACGTAGTGGTCCCTTGGAGGCATTCTGCAGCCGCTGCACTTGAGCGTGATAGACGGCCCCTGGCTCGTGTTCTGGCAACTGTAGGTCAAGAGCGTCGAGAGGGGCAACACCCTGAAGTCCATGAACCCGGGCGTCCCCATCGCGATCGTCGAAGGCGGGGTCACCTGAGAACAGGACATGCTCGAGATGGTGGTGATGTGGAACTCGATGTCGTTGACGAAGGCCAAGAGATCAGGAGCATTGGCCGGCTTGACCCGGTGCACCTCGATGTTGCGCCTATTGATGGCTTGGTACAGCAGCCTGCATCGACACATTTCGAGTGAGCATCACTATAGAGTTTTGAGTGTACTAGACTAGATGAATTTTGTGAAGCTGACTTACACAGTGACCAATCCAATGAAGAGTATGAGGGCAGCAACAGAGCACATTCCACCCAGCTCTGTCTTCCTTTTCTTGAGCACCTGCTGGTCAGCCTACATTTGGACAGCAATTGCAACCTACTTTCAGATCAGAAGGATATATTATGATATGATGATTGCGACAAGAGTACACGTGTGTTGCACAACAGGCAAAGAATGGTAATTTTTTCAAAAGGCAATCCCAATTCGCCACACGGAAGCAAGCAGCCGACCAGGAGGAAAAGTAGGAGGAAACGCTTGGGGGAAGGCGAAGCAATCAAAGACGCCTAGGCGAAGCAAACGAAGCTGTAACAGTAATTTTATTTATTTATTCCGAATTCCTCGTTAATTATTGAATGTGTGGCACAAGAAGGGAAAGAAATCGATGAATGAGTAGTGGATGCTTTGGACTAGATGAATGAATGTGCGCGGCGAAAAAGGAAATCAATGGATGGATGGATGGTTGTTAGTGAGCAGTAGTAGTAGCAGTTACCGCCCAGTGCTGGGTGTCGAAGATGCAGTCGAGGCGGCTGATCCAGAAGCGGGCGCGGAAGAGCTTCTTGTTGCCGGAGGGGTCGCGGCCGGCGAGCCTGGCGGCGGCGCAGAAGGCGAGCCAGGAGAGGAGGGTGACGAGCGCGGTGAAGAGGAGCACGGCCTGGGACTGGGTGAGGCGGCGGACGGCGTCGAGGGAGAGGACCGGGGCGAGGAAGTAGAGCGTCTGGTTGCGTGAGCCGGCGCCGACGGCCCCGACCTGCCAGTCGGCGAAGGTGTTGCCGTCGCCCGAGGCGGGGAGGGAGACGCAGGCGGTGCCGGTGCCGTTGGCCGAGAGGTAGTACCCCGGGTCGCACGCGCAGAGGGTCGCGTTGTAGGCGAACATCCGCGCCGCCGCGCACGCCGCCGCCATGGCTCCCGGGCTCTGCTGCTTGGGCCAAGAAAGTCAATCACATGGACGGGGACAGCAGGGCGGAGGGAGGGGGAGGCCGTGGTGAGCGCGACGGGCTGCTTGATAGCTTGGGTCTAGGGTTTGGAAGGGGAGGGAGGAGGATGGAGCTGGGTCTGGAATTGGGATCGGATGCAATCTCTGCTGGACGGAGAAAGGCGGAGGAGGAGGGGAAGAATCCACAGCACGGCAGGGAGGAGGATGAGGAGGCAGCTTAGCAGAGCTGGGCTGAGCTAGGATTGGCTGGCGGTCTTGGCTCAACAAAAGTGAAAAAGGGAATGCTTCTTGGTAGGAGTAGTGGTGGGTTAAAATAAAGGAGCTTAGGATACTGTTTTACCCATCTGATCTCTCTCTTTAGACTTGCTTTGTGCTATAATTGAGCAGCAAGAACCCACATTTTAGCAAATGCATATAATTGAGCAAAACTACAATGCATGTTTTCTTTTACAAGTACTCAACCACCAAAGGGCTTGCTTTTTAGTGGTCATTGACCTGCCTAATTTGTGGGGGGCTAAAATTTGGAGGCGTGTGCGTATTTTTGGATGTTACCTCGTCTTTTTCGAAATATCGCCAACGTTTCTTGGCTTTTGGATCAGCATCCAACCAAAGAGAGAAATATATGTTACAGCCCGCCAACCCCCAACCCTGGGCACGTCTAGAACGGCGAGCGAGTCTAACTTACCGTTCAATGGTTCGTTGGTTTGGGCCTATACGTGACATGTACTACAACGACTAGCAACGCCCTCTCCCCTCTTGCATAGTGCCGGTGATCGGGGTGCTACATGAACCATCGTCACTTCATATATTTTCTGCAATGGGTTAAAGCATTTTTTGAGGGAGCGTAGGATACTGTATCACCCATCTCTCTTTAAACTTTATTTATATTTTGTGCTTATCATTGAGCCTAAACAAGTCAAACAACTCACATTTTAGCAGCAAACTAACCTGTGGTTGAGATGGTTAGGTGCATAGTCAAGATCCCCACCCCATCAGGGTTTCAATCCTGGTGCTCGCATTATTCCTGGATTTATTTCAGGATTTCCGGCGATGCGCTTTCAGTGAAAGGAGACGTTCCCGTCGACAACGAGGCGCCTACGGTGACTTCGTAAATCTCAAGATGATATGCCGACTCAGTCTCTCGGAGGTGCTCATAGGGGTAGGATGTGCGTGTGTGCGTTCATAGGGGTGAGTGTATGCACGTGTATATGAGCGCTTGTGTATGTGCGTGTATATGCGCGTGTATACTGATGCTAAAAAAACTCACATTTTAGCAAAAAAATTGAGCAAACATACAATGCAATTTTTTTTTTAATTTTACAATGCAAGTTTTTGAACAGATGTCCATGCGCTGTCGATATCAACCCAAACGTATGGCCTTCGGCGGTCATTGACCGGGGCAATTTGCGCCAAGTAGAATTTGGGGGTCTTTATTTCTACGGTCATCTGAACTTTCTTGTGTTGAAATTTCAAGTCATATTTCTCGGCTTTTGGACCGGCGTCCAACCAAGGGAGAAATCTATATTACAGCCCTCACCTAATCTTGTGGTTTTAATTAGCCCACAAATTTGATACGGGGTAGAATGCAACCCACAATTCTCGCACTGTCTACAAGACCTAATGAGCCCGATATTTCCTAAAATGAAATAAATAGACGTTAAAAGGATCAAAAAAATATGTGTGCAAATATATATAGGTGACTCTATGAATGCGCCGAATTTATTAAATATATATGTCTACTATATTTAAAAATGACGCATGGTTTCATTCCTTGTCAGCCAAAACGCTAGGCGCAAAAGTTTATGTTTTCAAACAACATCAAATCATATTATCATCCAAATCATCCCAAAGGCATTACCAGGCGCAAACACTAATTAAAAGTTAAAAACACAACCATAACGGTAGCTATAATTGCATACTAAGGCATAACCTAGTGATAGGAAGGGGCTGATGCCTTCCCACCCACCCAGGTTCAAGGCACGGTACTTGCAATTTGGGTTTGTTGCACCAATTATACTGTAGGGGGTTCCCTTACAGTCTTTCTGTCAAAAAAAATGGTAGCTATAATTGTGTGAGCACACAAAACAGAAAAAAATGGGTTGTCTCCCAACAAGCTCTTCATCTATAGCCTCTAAGATAGGCTTTAAGATTTCAATGATGCTCACGTAAATGATAAGAATTGAAGCACAAAAAGAAGCATCATATAACATGTGACAAACATATTTAAGCCTAACATACTTTCTATACATACGCATTTTATAGAAAAACAAATTATCAAGGCAAACAATATCTAGCGTATGAAAATAGGAAGAATGAATCATTAATAATTTCAAGAACCGGGAAGAAAACACGACCACCAAAATAGCAATAAGATGATTGTCAGTATCACTACACCTCCCACTACGCCCAGCACAATCCAAAGAGTCTTCTGTCCTCCTGCATGTAGTTGACATGTAACCGAAGGAAAAATATGATGTGAAAAAGTAATTAATTCTGCATCTCATGCTTAACTCACCGTTCGAAGCCTGAAGAATCGATATTGTTCCAACCGATAACCGCAACAGACAATGGCGGAGCTATGTGTATA